TAGTTACCCCTAGTCACATAAATGTGAAATGGCAGAAATGAGAATTTGATCTGTCTGGTTTTGCAAGAATCATGGTCCACTACTGAGACAAAAAAAGTCTCATTTCTTATGAAAAGGTACATGTTACATGAGATCATTTTCCTACGATAAAAGTTGCTTTATAACAAATTAAAATACCTGAAGTGCGTCAAGTTACATAGAAATAGGCTTCTTCACTGAGGCTGGGAATATAAATCAGCAGATCTCAGAAAGGTAGATCGACAGTACTATCATGGGCCTTACCATAGCCATATCCCATGACCAAGCAATTGCATTTCTAGGCTTTTATTTTAAGAAATGTGTCTTAGGGTGCAGAAAGATATCTAGGAATAAATTCATCATATTGTTTACAATCGTTACCAATTGAAAATTATCTTAATGAGTTGCAACAATATTAGTCAAGTTCATTATAGATTATTCAGAAAGGAAAAACCATTTGAAGTTATACAAGAAAATTGATTATGTGGGGGAATATAATGCTTTCTATACATTTTTTTAACTTGAAAGACTAGTTAGTAGAATATAAATTAAGACTGAAACATCTAGATCATATTTAACATGTAATTAGGGTGTCCCCTTTAGTGTTATAATGTTGCTTTTTGCAGACTTACTTTACTTCCTAAATCTATAGTACTTTTATTGACATTGTACAGATCAGGAAACTAAGAATGGAGGGATTATGTAACCCACACAGTTACCCAGCAAGTCTGAGGCACAGGTGAAATTTAAACTCAGTCCAGTTACCTCTAGGGTTCCAAACACCACTTAACTTCTAATTTCAAAAGAGACATAAACATACGTTAAAACCTACAAGTGTGTGTTTACTTATTAAATTTATGTTTGTTCAATATTATTAGTGTTATATTTTTCTTCTTAAGTTTTGTTTTGTAAATTTTACACAGTGTTTGGAATTAATGTACACTGCTTTCGTAGACTAACTTACATTTTAGGGAGAGTAGATTGTTAAGAACCGGCACATGAAGGTCCTGTGCCATTTCCCAGCTGCGGAGGCGGTGTCAGTTTGAGGGCAGTGAATGGACAGGTTGCCTGCGGGGCGGCGGGGTGGTGGTGGTGGTGGTGGTGGTGTGTGAAATGCAGAAGTCAGAGCTGTTGGAAAGAATGAGCTTGCATCTACTGGTTGGTGTCTGTGCAAGTGCACATTTGAGTCTCTCATGTTCTTTGTAGCTCATGTCGTCAGAGCCGGGCCTGATTCCATGTGGGGCCAGAGACAATTGCTACTGAATAAAGTGTGTTCATTGTTCTCTTGCTGAACCATGTTTCTGTCCTCATGGCATTTTGTTGGAAAGTCACTTTGCATGAGCATCAACTGAGACCAACTTTGCATCTTCTTATCACATTAATGCATTTTGCCTTTCCCCCAAGTAATGAAAGGGTCTAATCAGATGATACCGGTTTACATCTACATCTCCATTTTTGGATTCAAAAGTCAGACAGTGAAGGAATCAATATGATTTTCATTTGTATTTTTCCCTTCACTGTATATCATCCCTCTCATTTATTCCTTCCTATATATTTTATTTCTACTACTTTTTCCTTCTTACAGATTCTGATCAACATTGCTATTGATCATTTGGTGTGGCACTGAACCAAACATTTACACGGTCAATCAAAGTAATGAGAACTCTTTAGTCATCCAACTTTAAGAAAGCCTTCCATATTTATTGTGATTACAACTCATTTAAAGAAATTTAATATGCTTTCATGTAAAAAAATGATTAGTTTAAGGATGATTCTGGGTCAGACTAAATATTTTAAACCAGACTGCTTTCTTGGTAACTTTTTCTTTGACTCCAAAATCTTAAGTCATTACTCAGATACAGACTTCCGTACTCATTCATACACCAACTAATGTGGCCCAGAATTAACTTTTAGCATGCTATGGGTAAAATTTATGATGTTTATATTGTATCTGAAAATAAATAATTCCCATTTTCCTGGTTATGGAAGTTTCTGTTCATAATTAGGTTACATGTACGTCACTGTCGGTGGAGAATCTTTCCTTCAATTATTACCTACTGCCATACATTCTTTACCTATTAAAAGGCAAGAATGAAACCAAAGGTGATAGGTCAATTTTAAGTTTACCTTGAGAAATTGATGTTAAAGATATTAACTAGTTTTTTTTTTTTCTTTCAAGACCATTATATTTGAATAAAATGACATCCTTCTCTATCAGGCCAGAAAGGCTCTCTGTGTGGATTTAGAGCCTTTCTTTTGTCATAAATTAAAATCTATTTCACTTCTTCTTGCCTTTGATGTCAGGAACATCAAAATTAGTTGAAGTGCTATCTCATATCCAAAGATAAAATACAGAGATTTCTTCTTTAAATTTTCTTTTGAATGTACATTATCCTATTTAATAGATATTTAAAATGATAAAGTGTTAGAAATTATCCTCAGAGTTCTAAGTATATATAATGACCTTAGCTTTGGACACAATCTATGTATTTAGTTTTTATTTCCTATTATATTTATTGTATGAAGGAGCTTGGCAAGTTGGGATATAGTAGAATTTTTAAGCTATTTTCTTGTGCTGGAAGTTCAGTTTCATAAATATAGTGAAAATAAAGACATTTTAAAAACATAGTCTATTCTGTTAGCATTTAAGCATGGTATTTAATACCACTAAATATTTAAAGTCATTTACCTATTCTTATTTCAAACATATTTCAAGTCCAAACTAGTAATTTGCTATTTCCTCTACCCTTTACCATTTTTAAAAATGTATTCTTTGTAACAAATAGATTGAAAAGCTAAATTAACAAATGTTCATTAAGTTTAGTTTATTTGCTTTTTAAATATTACATAGCAATTTAAAAATTAGGCAGATCTCTCTGCTAATACAAAACTATATTGGTAGATACAAATGAAGTTACAAAATGTGCATAGAGTTTCATTTAGTCCTAAAGTCTTACATTCTTTTGTAACACTATTTTTATGATAATATATTCTTAGTAAATCTTTAAAAATATGTACAACTAATTCCTATTGAATTTATATACAGGAGAAAGAATTGTGATCTCTCTCTCTCTCTTTCCATATATATGTGTATTTTATATATATGTATTTTTCCCCAAAGGAACATTAGTTTCCTTGCTAATTTTTAAACTTGTCAAATTTGTGTGTTTTAAATTAATTTTATTTTACAGTGCTCATTAACTTTAAATATATCTAGCTTGGATGATGATTTTAATGTCCCTAGATGGATTCTGGGTTTTGCTGACACAATTCTAGGGACATTGAGTAACAGGAAATGGTCATTTACCAAATTAAAAAACAAAACAAAATCTCCCTGTTCTATAACATATTTCTTTTTATACTGATGCTGCCTGTTCTTTTGACCTTCCTTAACCCTTAAGAAATCATGGAAAATTTAAGAATACAGTGTAATGATTGAGGGTTGAAGCAAAGCTAAATTAGATCAAATGCAGCTTGGCAAATGGTCATGCTATTTTTGTATTTATCTCTTTCAACTTTAACACCCACAATTTATTAAGTGAGACTGTGTATCGCAGCAGAAGCTCTGAATCCTGTTTGGACACCGTTGAGGAAGGAAGTCAGGTCTTTATGGGGCACCCCCTTCCTCTTAGCCAGTGGCCAGGAAAACCATCCTATTGCATAAAAGCTATTCAATCTGAGAGAGGTGGGGTGGTTTGGGAAGGAAGATGACCTCTCCCTTGTAAAGTGGAATCGCTGTTTTCCCCTGTGATTTAGTCAACTCATTTCCACCACTGTTTATAAGAACACTCGTGTGAATGTTTGTAGTGACAGCAATAATCATTTAAAATATGGCTCCATTTCCATGCTGTTGGATTTCGTAAACTGAGTAAATTGTTGATCACTGCAATTCCAAAATAGGATGTTTGATAATCTAAAGTTTGGCTGCACCTCTTTTATCATGAACAGGCATGTTCTTAGCCACAAGTGTAATAAATGCATGACTTGCTAACGAATCTGAAAAGTGTGATGAAATCCAGCACTTAACATGCCTTTCATGGAAGTCTTCGTGTCTTTCATAGTTTCTAAAATGATACATGAGCTGTCTCGTATGCTGAGATCTGCAGGTAATAGTGTTAGTACTGAGGAACTTGTTTATTTTGAATATTCATTGATACCTTGTTCCTTTTGAATAATTTTGAATTTTGACCCCAACTGTAGCTAGCCTTTTAGTTATTTAATTTACATTGTTTAGTAATTTACATCTGTATTGGTAAAATACAGATCGTTTCATAAAAATCAGCTTCTGTATTTCTTTAACATATTTAATAATCTTGGCGAATGTTTTTAAATTAAAAATTGTAGACTAGAAATTTTATACCTTGTATATCTTTCACACAGTTGCTCTGAATTTCAGCATCTTAAATTACCAGGATATGTTTGTCAAGGTGTAAAACAAATGACATGGGTGCATTATTAATTATTAAACTGTGATCTTTATTTGGGTGTCACCAGATTGTGGACTAATACCCTTTTTCTGTTCCAGGATCCAATTAACAGGACCTGACTATATTTAGTCATCTTATCTTTTAAATCACTTCTGATTTATGATGAATTCCTAGTCTTTATTCTTTCCCATGACCTTGACAGTCGTGAGGACTACTGGCTAAGGATTTTGTAAAATATTCATTATCTTTGAATATTTGAAAACACATAACTGCTGAGTTTTTTTAAAAAAGGGAAATGTAGTTGGTCATGATTTGTTCCAGTAATTTGCTACCACTATGCCAGTTTGACCTGGTAAACATTACTTTATCTTCTTATCAGTTATAATAGCACTCCATAGTTAAAAATTGATTAGTGATGGATTCAATGCCTGTTTAATATTTGTTTTTTTGTTAATCACACTAGAGTCTCAACTTTGCCCAAGTTAGTTTTGCTTATTCTATTTAAACCACACAGAAAGTTTCCACCAGTAAATATATCACCTCTTATTTTAACAGATTAGAGATGGAGAAACAAATTGTTATGTGTTAAAGAACAAAGACTTAGAACAAGCTTTTAAAGGCGTTATCTATTTAGAGATGGAGCTCATATATAATCCGGTAAGTCTCATTGGACCGAACCTCCCAGCTTTCATATACGTAAAATAATTCTGTCTTCAGAAATTCAAAGGAATGTACCGTATTTCAGAAATGAGGCCAATAGACAAAAAAAAAAAAAAAAAAGAACATTTGAGGAAAACAAAACAAAACAAAACAAAACAAAACAAAAAAAAAACCACTTCACCCTAAAACCTGTCTTGAGCATTTCAGCTTGAAAGTTGTATTAACCCTGCTGGGCCAGCAGAATTGATGGTGTTTAATTCAAAATAAATCCAAATGTCAAGAAACAATAAAATGAAGGGGAAAATAGCTTTTATGTAACAAATTATTGCATAGAAATTTGTGTAAATGTCCATGTATTCATAATACAATTTATAATATGTATTCAAATAATTCTATGTAACATAAAGTTTATGTCATAAAATTTTTAAAATACATATGTGCAGTAAAATGGTATCTTTGCCATTGTTCTAATCTGTAACATGTAATCTGGGCAATATAAAATTCTAACTTCTAACTTCATAAATTATATGTATATGTACAGTCACGTTTTCAATAGTGCTAGAACTGTGATCACAGTATTTCGAATGAGAGTATGTTTCTTTCTTTTTCTTCCCTTTTTCTCCATCTCCCTTCAGGAGATGTACAGGTTAGGAGACAGATGAGCCCTTGTCTCCTGCCACCTTGTATATAGATTATACCAAGAGCTTATTATACTCAGGTAAAACCTGGGCTTACAGGGACAGCAAGTCATTCTTTCTATTGGCAGTGTTCTAGTTAAGTGACTATTTTCACTTGCTTATCAGATGCGGAGGAGAGACTTGAATGGTCCCCTTGAGTTACTCTGATGGTTTGAATGACACAGAATCACTGTGAAGTTCAATTTATTCCCTGTAGGAGGGGGCTGCAAAGACCCGTCTATTTATTTTTCCAGCATGTTGGAAGAAAATGGGGTGCTCTGTAGATGGGTTGCTTTTCACCCACTGAAAGCTGCTCTTCACAGGATAGGTATGATTGATGAAGTCTCAGTTCAGACAGACGCTAGCAGGAGATTTTAGCTTTTGGAGCTGCTGGTTGAAGAAGTCGGGCACCTTAGACTTGGCAGTAGCTTAAAATAGACCCATGTGGGGTGACCCATGTAGTGACAACACTCTTCCCACTGCAGTCTGAGTTCCAGGGTCTCTCGGGAACGAGACCCATAAGCACTATGGAACAGAGGGCTCTCAGCGTCACCCCGGCTTTCTGCCTTGGTCTGAGGCTCTGCTGTATTGGCATCTCCGCTCTTCCCAGTTACTAAAAAGCAAAATAAAGTTCACATGAATGCTCCTCTTTACACAGTGATGTCTTTCCAGGTCAAGGCCAGTATTAGGACCTTTACCCCCAGAGAAAAGCGCTTCCTTGAAGATAATCGCAAGCTGTCCAAAAAGGTAGGCGCTATGATACCATGAGTGGCACGTGGGCCCGCTGAGCACGCAGTCCCCAAGGGCTTCTTGGTCAGGACTTGTATGCTCCTCTCCCCGTCTCTTCCTCTCCGTTTCTGTCCAGCTGTGTTCCCTTCTTTCCCCAAACAAGGACCTAAGGAACCTCGATGAGAAGGTAAAAACTTACAACCTGTGTGTGGGGGAAGCTGTCCATCCTCCAGCTTTCTGAGTTCATTCCCTGAACACTTCCTAACGTCAAGCACCCGTGTCCTCCTGAATTTCCTTCCTCCATCCCTGTTCCTCTCTTGGCTTTAAAACCACAAAAAGGTGCTCTGCCTGGTGAGTGGGTCAGACATGCAACTAGTGCATCTTTAGAGATTTCTGGCCCCCCGTTCTCCTTTGGGTATTGTCCAAATTTGGGGTGTGTTGGCGTTTTATCTCATATTGACTGAACATTCTCTCTCTCTCTCTCTCTCTCTCTCTCTCTCTCTCTCTCTCTCTCTCTTTCTCTCTGTCTGTCTCTCTCTCTTTTCTCTCTGCTTGTTTTCCTAAGTTCCTTTTGCATCAGTACAACCCTGGGTGAAGAAGAGGAACTAGCGGGGAAGTCTCACTACTATTAATTATTATCATCATTAATATTACTGTATTACCTTTTTGTAGTTGTTATTCAGAGGCCCTCTCTTGTCCTCTTTAGACCCAGATCAGGATTTTAGTTCATACCCATTGTCCTTCTTCAGAGCATAGCAAGAACAAAGTGTCCCTCCTTTCAGGCATTTATTACTTCCCCCACTTCCTGCGGGTAGACAGCTGCGGATGACACAAAGCAGTTAAATATAAAGGCACCTTATCATCCTTTTGTTTCCTGTGAACTTCTGGGCATACTTGGGAAAGGCCTGCAGAGCCTTCAGAAAGGAAGCATCTGCGTGGCTTTTTTTTTTTTTTTTTTTTTTTTGCCTACCCTAGTGTTGAATGTAATATGTATCTTGTGTAATGTGAGTAAATGTCTTATTATCATTGCTGCTTTTTTTGCTCTATTTATTTAAAAGTCAAAACTTGGGCTGAGGTAGGTGGGATAGCTACACTGCAAACAAGTTGAAATGAATCTACCTACACGTGGGGAAAAAATATTTCCTTTGCAAAACAACACCTCCATGTGGGCTGGCTTTGGGCACAGAGAGCAGTGCAGAGTCAGAGATGAAGTCCCGGGCTGTGGCAGGACCCTGGCCACACGCTCTCACGCTTAGTTTCTGCAAGTGTTGCTGAAGTTGAAACTTTTGCTTATGATCCACATACTGGAAAGCACCTGATAAATGACAGGGATTTTTTGAGGGCCCTTCATTTTCACGGCCACTTGTAATGTTGGACTTAACTATCAACACGATTTTGTGAGAGTGCTTGAGCGACTTTCCCAAGCTCGCATAGCTAGGAAGAAGGAGATATTGATTTCCTTCTTATATGCTTGGAACTAGATGAATTGTAATCGGTGTCACAAAACCTATGGCATGCAAGCCCCAGCAGACGTGCAGAGCCCTCTCTGTCAGCTCAGGAGCCAACTCATTCCACCTGGCAAGCATCTGATAGCAGTTGTTTTTCTAAACTAAAACCTCACTGTTAAGGTTTAATTTCAGTCTTGGCACTTTGCAATAAATGAGTGAGTTTGACTTGCAGTTTGGGGACTCAGTCTCTGCAAGACTCACGTTGTCACTATCTATTATAATATATGTTTCCACTATTAATCTATCAAATTGCTTCCATATTAAATGTCAACACTTTCCCATTCTGACTCTATCTCTTTCTGTGTTTGTCTCTGTCTCTGTCACTTGTTCTCTCTCTCTCTCTCTCTCTCTCTCTCTCACACACACACACACACACACACACACACACACACACTCCTACCCATACCAAGTGCCCAGTTGCTATAATCTTTGCCAGTTTGATTTGTGCTGGATATTAGTACAACAGACTGTTCTTTACCAAAGAACTGTGATATGCATTAGATTTGCTTTTCCTCTATGGCTGCTAACAATTCTGACGAGCATTTTAGAAGTATCAGGACATTCATTTTCTATTATTATTACTATTAAATTAGTAGTCCTACAGAATGTAATTTAAGTGTTCCAGTGGTAGGATCTAAAGGTACTATTTAGAGTACATAAACTTAGTTCCTTGTTTTCTACTATTTTTATCAGATCTTATCAAGAGATGTGGATCGGGTGAGAAGACTCACTGTGGCAGTATGGAATACAATGCAGTTCCTTAGAAGCTGCTTCCAGTGGGAGTCCACACTGACAAGCACAGTGGCATTCGTGGTAAGCTTCCTTTCTGTGTTCACATTAACTGTTGCTTATCTGCATCCTTTCTTTTTTCTAAAACATATTATGGCATAGCAATTATGTGGGCTTTATCTTGCTAAGTTTGTAGTTAGGTCAAAACCCTTTCATTGACTGGCATCCTACTCATATCCCCTTCCTGGATGAGTTTGAAAGAGCCAATGTTCTGTATGCTCTAAATGTCCCCATAACTGTTTTCCAGCCAAATTCGTAGTCTCTCCATTGACTGTATTTCTCCTCTGCTGTGTGGTAACTGCCGATAATTTTTGAAAAAATGTCAGCTTAAAAGAAAAAAATAAACCCATGACTAAATGCCTATAATTTAGGTTTAAGTATATCATTCAAAAACTTTGCTATTAAAACATTTCTTCAGATAGAGCCACTTGGGACATCATCGATCACTCCCCATTACCGTTTGCCTCCGTGCCATCCTGTCGAAATGCGCCTGTGTATGAAATGCACTTTTTCCCTGATAAGCATCATCAATAAATAGAATCAAACAGCTGCAAGAGAGCTCAAAACTTCCTGAGAATGTCCAAGAATCTTGGAGGGACTTCTGAGTTGGCAAAAGGCCTTCACTTTGAAACTTTGATCAGTGTCCCTTTTTTTTTATAAAGAGATTTGTCCTTGATCAGATTGTTAATGTCAAACATGGGAGGAGAAACCAAGTCTCCACATGGTTAATCCTGGACTTGAGCATTCATTTCTTTGCTGTGCAGACAACAATGTAGAGCTCATTTGCTGGATGAGTGACCTGGGAGTGAATATGGGTTATGGTCCAAGTTAAGTCTGATTTCTGCACTTTACGTGGGTCTTCTGTCTTCTGTTGTCAGTACAGCCTCAGTGTTCTCTCCTACTTGACAGACTCAGACTTATAAAAAATATGTGAATTTAACATGTGAATGGGTTTAGGGTTCTTCCCACCTTTTATCCAATCAAGCATATCATCTAGATAACTGGCTTTTCCTTTGTCACTGAAGAACATTTGGTTTGGCCTGTTTTATTTTCCGACCATTTCAGGGCACAGAGGAGCTATGCTGCCTGCAGATTTACCTTGTTCCGCTGTCTGGATTTGCTAAAGCACTGATAATAAGGAGTTTGTTAATCCTGTCCCTCATCTTCCCATTTGTTTATCCACACCTGTTTCCCACGTCCTCCTCAGCTGGTGACTTCACATGCTGGGTTTGATTCCAATTCTCAGCCCCACTTCCCACCTGAATTCCCTTTCAAAACTTTCCATGGAACGTTCTGTGCAACTCTGGCCAAAAGAGGAAAATGAACACAATTGGTGGCTTCTTCCAGTGAGTGCTTCTGCCAGTGTGTGGAACAGCAGAGAATTTCCTCTTACTCCACTTCAGTTTCTGGTGCTCTGGTGATTTTAGAAAAACAGAAGTCTGTTGCTCTAGATTTGCAGGGGGATGACAGGTATGATTAATGGGCTGCTGGCTGATCAGAAGAAAGATTAGGACAAATGAATTGAAACAGGTTTTCCAGGAGAGGAGACTTCTAGACAGGAAGTGAGCTTGGCAGGGGGCCACTTCTCCATTACCTTTTCCCTGAGTGAGTCCTCCCTGTTGAATAACTGTTAAAGCTGAGCACTCTGGCAAACACAGGTAGAAGCATCTCACCTCCAGATGTCTGAGCCTCACAGAAAAGAAGTTAAAAGGATTAAAGGTTCTATAATCCCCAGTTTTCCAAAGCCTGATTTGCCAGGACATCTGTGGGTGGCCCCATTTTCTGTGCTTATCGGGCATTTTTCCCCTCTGGATGTCATGAACAAAAATGCAGAATTAATTAGAAATGCTATTCAATCAGCCACTGTAGCCACAGCTACTGCATTCATTGAAAATATATTTAAAAATTGTGTTTGCTGGGTGTGTCTATAATTCCAACACTTTGCAGAGTTGAGAAAGGGGATCACAAGTCCATCTGGGCCAAGGATATAGCTCAGTGGGATAAATGCCTGCTTGGCAAGTGCAAGGTCCTGAGTTTGTTTGCTGGTATGAAGCAAACAAGTTCATATCTTATGACCTGGACAATTTAGTGCAACACACAATTGTTGTCTATATCTACATAGTGCAGCAAACAGATGTAGATATAATATATATAGATGATATAGATACAGACACAAATACAGATACTGAATTTGTGTATCCTGAAAATACTGGAATGAAGGGTGCTCACTTAAACACGGATTAGTTTTAGTTTGAACTTTGTGTTCAAAAGTTTATATTACATTTACCACACTGAGCCATGGTGGGTTTGGTGAAATCACACCTCACTGGCTTAGGGAAGGTCACTACTTTTGGTTACTAAATATGGTCAAAATGATACTTGAAAACCATTTGTGCTATTTAAAGAGACTATAAAGAAAATGCTTTTGTAGGAAAGTGTATGTGTGTGTCTGTTTATTTCCTTCTATTTTTATTTTTTATTGTTTTTCAAATACCTGTATGGGTAGTTGAACCTGCATTCAGCGGCGAAGCATTCTGCTTTCCCTTGGACTGGCTGGCTGCCCGTGTCATAGGCTCACATGCTCGGATGGCCCTCGGTGATGGTGTTACAGTCTGGAGTCTGCGAGCCTCCACTGAGGTTGTCTTTCTGCGATGTGTTGTACCCTCAGGTGTCCTGGGCTAGAAAGAGGCTGAGAGGCCGTGGAGATGAAGTGTAGCCTGTCTCTGCCTGGCCCTCTGTGTCTGTGCTCCTTTTCCAGGCTGGGACATGCCAACTGATGTTTTCCTGTCATTTGCTGAGGTCAGAGTGCTACTCCTGGTCTCTTCCATCAGTGTGAACCTTTGTTCATGTTCTGCCTATTTGCCTGAGCATTCTAGAATAAAAGGGTTTTTTGTTTGTTTGTTTATTTGTGTTGGGCACCACTTCTCACTTGCCAGGCCAATGCTTGGGCCACTGAGCTAAATCCCTGGCCCCTAGGATAGATCAGTTTTATAGTAGTCTAAGCATGTTTTTTAAGCCAGGGATTTATTAAATAACCAGACTGCACTAGAAGGTTTTTCTCCTCTGTTGGAAATTAGGATAAGGGGTGGTTGTGGTTTTCCCTGTGCTGGGGAAAAGGGTCCCTTGTGGCTGAGTTGTCCCGAGATAATGGCGGTGATACTGGGCCCCCACACAGAGGGCAGAATGAAAGGGTATTTTTACCTTGTTTTGTGAGAAAACATAAAATAGTCTATTAACTTTGTGTTGTAGTCTCTATTTCCAGACGATACAAAACATGTAAATTCTACAATGTATTTAGTTCGTGTTAAGGCATTATAAAAGCAAACCACACATTTTCACAAGATTCCTATGAATATGTAGAAACATAGCTCATATCTTGTGGGAAACTGCTGGTAAGGAAAAGCCACAGGACCTAGGTTCATGGTGGTCCAGTCAGAAGCACTGGACAGATCTTGGAGAATTAAATTGCTTAGATTGTCCAAGCATACATCCACTCTCCAAGCAGATTTTTCTTCTCAACACCTTTGTGGATGACTGCATTGCCAACACTAAGGGAAATGTTGAATTCTATTGTTGAATTCATGCTTATTGTAAGAAATTAAATTGGGGCTTTTTGGATGTTCAAAACATTCCAAATCATGTTTCCACAGGCTCAAATTACTTTTGTGATGATGAATATTAGAAAAATCATTCTGTCTTTCTCTCTCCTCTAAGGTTTCCATGTATTTTATTGCATTGTCTTACTAAGCTGTACTTATTTGTGCTGAATTAGGTATATATGTTTTTCCCTTCAACAATTGCATCTTTTAATTTCCAGATGAAAGACAAACTTACTAATTTATTAAGAGAGACTAAATGCAACTAAAATGTCTTGCTTAGAAGTATCTATATATTTCCATAGGAACAGATTTATAAATGGATACCTTTTATGCACAAGTGTATGGCTATTCCCACACAGACTGTGAACTCTAATGGTATTAATAGTTTATGCCACTTCATTGTATCAGGCACTGTCCTAAGCATTCTGTAAATGTTAACTCATTTTATTCTCAGAATAAGCTGCTGGTAGGTGCTAATTGCTATCTTCTTTTAACAGATGAGGAACAATGGGCCTATATAGGTTAAGTAAATTCAAAGCTCTTATGCTTTTAAGAGACAAAGCTATGACTGAAACCCAAGTTATCTGGCTTGAGAAGCCATATACTCAACTATCGGGATCTGTTTCCTGTCATCAGTGCACAGGATGCAGGTCTGTACTGACTCTAGGATCAACCGTATTGATCATTGCAGATATATATGTTGATGATATGCATGAAAGTTAGATCTACTCCAGGATGCTTTGGAGAAAAATCTTAATTGTATGCTGGGAAAAAATCCCAAATGCAGTAACTTTATTCACAGGTGACATAGCTCAAATCAAAGAAGCCAAAGGCAGAAATATCTGTAATATTCCCAGGGAGTAGACCCAACCCTGGGTCTACATGCATATGACGTCCATGCACTCTAGCTTGATGATGTAGAAAATCCTGCTGTCTGGCTTTAGACTAATTCCCAGATGGGAATCTTTAGCTTTTTCTCTACTTTTTAGGAATAGTCTTAAATGATATGCAAGCATGCTCAAGGAAAAAGAAAAATAAAGGCTGAGTACAATTAATTGGAGGAGTCAGATTTTCTTTAACATTTCTTACGTTGTTCAAGACAAAGGATAGGAGTAAAAGAGAGAACAGTTATTGATTTCATTAGTACATTTCTTTAAAATATCTTAACACAATAGCAATCAAAGTGACAGGCCCAAATTTCTAGTAAGTGGAGAGCTCTATTATAAATCCTTAGTGTCTCAGTGCAACTATATTATCTAAAGTAACTAATTTGTTCTCCAAATATAATTTTGCACTGCAGTATTATTGTAGAAACACTCATGAATGTTGCATTTGGTTACTCTTTATTTTTTGTAAGTATGTATTCATATTATAAGCCCCCAAGTTTTCTATGTAAATATCTTCACCTATATTATGATATTGATG